CTTCATCGAGGAAGTCACTGATGATTCCAGGTACCAGAGAACCCAGGGATATCCAATGTCCAGGCACGTGGAGAGACAATTTCACTATTTTTGGTGTTTGGGGTTTTTTTTTTCTTTGTTTTTTTTTCTTTTTTTTACCCTTTTTGGTCCTTTTTTATTTTTACCCCTTTTGAGGGAATTTCAGGAAACAAAAGGAGGATTTGGGAAGCATGGGGGGATTCTGGGAATGGGTCCTGCCCTCACTCTCCTCTTTTTCCCAGTTTTTTCGATGGCAATGCCCTGGACGACAGCCCCTCACAGTTCGCAGAGGTGAGCTTTCCTTCTTTTCCTGTAGCGTCTTCCCCGGCAGCTCCTTTTCCTGAGAGTTTTGAGTGATCCCATGGATTTGGGAGTATTCCTCCTCAAATTCCAGCCATTGAAGAGAGGGAGAGACCAACCCCACAGCTTCCAGATTTATTGGGGTCTGTGCGGAGTGGGGAGTTGCACTGAGGTTGTTGCATTAGATCTGGATCCACTTGGGCTATAATTAAGCCTTTCTGCCAGACTTTTCCCTGGGATACACGACAGCTATTGGAATGTGCTCCAGTGAAGCGGACTCCGCTGCCTCTGCGTCCCGCAGGGATGAGCACCAGAGCTAAGTGGGGATCGTGGCTCCTGTCTTGCCCTTCTCCGCAGCTTTGGGACCACTTGGACCACACGGTGTTCTTCCCGGATTTCCGGCCATTCCTGAACAACGGCTCCCTGGATCCAGAGAGCCGGGACACGGAGAGGGGCCCCCCAGCCGAACTCTGGGGCCCCAGTCGCCCCCCACGGCTGCCGATGCCTCGGAGGTATCGATCCCGTGGCAGCTCCCGACCGGATCGCTCGCCTGCCATTGAGGGGTGAGTTTTTGGGGAGAAACCTGCGAAAATGACTTTCTGTCAGCACCCTTAGCACAATTCTGGTTCATTTTCCATGTCCTGCTGCCTGGAACACAGGGCATTCTCAGCACTCACATCCCAGGATGAGTTCTCATCCCTAATTCCTTTGTGCTCTCCCTCCATTTGGGAGGTTTATCCAGGAAATTTTCAGCTGTGAGCCCTGTATCCATGGGGAAAGGATTCCCTGTTTTACTGCCTATTCCTTCTGCCACTATTTATTTATTTAGCTTGTTATTTCCATGTTTTTCCTTGGTTTTCCATGTCCCAGTACCAACTCTTCCATTGGAACTCGAGTCATTCCCACTTCTCCCACCCTGGGATGAGCTCGTATCCCTAATTAGTTGCTGCTGTCTCTCTCTGTTTTGGAGCTTTATCCAGGGATTTTCAGTCATGAGCCATGCAGCGAGGCATCCAAAGAGCAGGAACTCCTGGTTTTCCTGCCCATCCTTTCTTCCACCATTTATTTACTTACTTAACTTGTTCTTCCCATGTTTCTCCTTCCCATGCCTCCTTTTTCAGGATAATCCAGCAGATCTTTGCTGGGTTTTTTGCCAACTCAGCTGTTCCTGGCTCCCAACATCCTTTTTCCTGGTGAGTAGCTCAGATCCCACCAGTAATTACCAGTAACCCAGCGTCTAGGGCTGGTTTGGGAATGGAGGGAATTCCTGGACTCTCCCGTTGGCAGGAGCGGGATGCTGCACTCCAATCCTGGGGATTATGCGTGGGGACAGAGCGGCCTTGACGCCATCGTCACCCAGGTGAGTGGCACCTGTGCCAGGGTCAGATCCCATCACAGATCCCTGCTTCTGAGCACAGAATTTTTCCCTCTCTGCAGCTCCTGGGACAGCTGGAAAACACGGGACCACCGCCAGCAGACAAGGAGAAGATCTCGTCACTCCCAACAGTGCCAGTGACGCAGGAACAAGTCGGTGGGTGACTCCATCCCTGAATCCGATGGCATTTGTGTTGGCATCGGGGTGTTTGACATCCTGAGCTCCCCCGTTACCGCTTTGTTCCCTGTGGAATTGGGCTGGAAACTATCAGCTCCCAAGCTTTGCTGCTGCCATCTCTGGTGTTCATTTCTCCTGGGAATCTTGGAGCTCCACCGTTCTCCAGGGTGCACGGAGAGTCCTAGAATATGCTGTTCTGACTCTTCTCATCCCACAATGGTTTTCCTATCCCAAATCCCTGTTTGTGCTCTCGACTCATCCCTTCTTCCCTTTCAGGATGGCTCTTGACATATTCTGCTCTGCTCTGGAAATGTCATGGAAAACTGCCAGCAGGGGTCTGGGCGTGTCTCGGAACAATCCGGGCTTTGCAATTAAAAATCCCATTAATTTTTCACCCCGAGGATCCCTCCCCCTCCCAGCTGCTCAGTTACCAGAACCCTCCTCCTCCATTATGGTCAAACTAGACAGTTCTACGCGGGATATTTTTAGCCCGTGGTTTTACATACCCCTCTGTCCTCCTCTTCTCTGGGAAGCCAAGGACTAGCTGAAATTCCATGTGTCTGAGCCCACGGGGCCCAAAAAGGCTAGGAATCGTGAAATCTTGGAATATCCAAGTTGGAAGGGAATTAGCTGAAGGAGCTCAGTTCCTGGCGATGTCCATGTCAGCATCACGAGCTTGGAACAGGGGGAGAGGGAGTGAGATTTCAGCTGCCTCCCATAGCCGGTGACACACAGCTTGGGGATCATCAAGCCATATTCCTGGCTGGGAAGTTGTGGTGGGCATCCAAACATCCTGACTTTGATTTTTGTTTGCTGATGGTGATGTACAGAGAATATCAGGAATTCCTTATACTCCCTGGGAGTTGTGTGTGGATGGGTGGATCCCAGCTGGTGGAGCTCGGAGCTCATGTTCCCAGCAGGAATTCTTCATTCCCATGATGCTCCGTCCCCTGTGGATTGTATCCTAGCTTGCAGATCCTGACGCTTATGTGTCTAGTGGGATTTCATTGATCCCTGCATGCTCCATCCCCAGAGGATTTTGTATGGATGGATGGATCCTGGCTTGTTTCTGGCAGGAATTCTTTTATCCCTGGATGTTTTCATCTCCAGCAGACATAAATGACCTGTAAATCCCAGAGCTCCTGTTCCTGGTGGGATCCTTTTGGTGCCTGAACACCCCATTCCCAGTAGACCCTACTCAAGTGACTCCCAAATACCAGAGCCTTCATTCCTGTTCCCCTAACCTGCCATTACCTGTTTTCTGCAGACACGGGGCTGGAATGCCCGGTGTGCAAGGAGGATTACGCCGTGGCGGAGCAGGTCCGGCAGCTCCCCTGCAACCACATCTTCCACAGCAGCTGTATCGTGCCCTGGCTGGAGCTGGTAAGATCCCAGAAAACCCATGTATCCCACAGGATAATCCCCCAGGATAACGGCTCTGTGTTCCCCACAGCACGATACATGTCCCGTCTGCAGGAAGAGCCTAAAGGGTGAAGATTCCACCCGGCAAATGCCGAATCCTGATGCTTCCGACAGCCCTGTGCAGGAGCGATGGACTTTCTGACCCTTCTGAAAGGTTCTGGAGTGCTCCAGAGGGTTCTGGAGGCCGGAGCATCCCCGCTCGAGGTGTACATTGTCTGAGAATTCCAACAAACCCCCCCAAGTAGCAGGAATTAGGGGGCTCACGCTGTGGGATTACAGCACCAAGCGCTCTTCTCCCAGGAATTTATCCTTCTGCTCCATGGAATTGCCGCGTTAGTCCTAAATTGGGAATTTTGGGAGTGATTTGATTTCATTTTGTATCAGAAAAGGTTTTTTTTTCCAGTGGGGCCCAGTCCAGAGAGGGGTTCCAAGTCCCTCGTAGCCTTCTCTGGAAAAAGGTTGGGATAAAAAGGGGATTTTTTGGATCTTCGTGCACTCTGGGAGATTGGAATTGTATCCACGAGAGATTTTATTGCCCTGTTTTGGATGGAATCCTTGGCGTCTATAAAATCATGGCAGGTGGAAGAAGGAAGGGTCTGCAGCCCTTCCTTAGGGAGGTTGGACCCTCAGGAGCCCCTGTGGTCCTGGAAGTGGTCTGGGAATGCTGTGGTATCAGGAATGTGCTGAGCAGGATTTTGTCTCATCCTGAAATATTCTTGGGGTTGATTCAGGTTTTTCTGAACCTTTTCTACATGACTGTGGCCCCAGATGTGTCCAAACCCCACTCTGCCCCCACAAGTCATTCCAGGCAGGAATTACGGACCACTCCCTTGGGAATGCCCCTGCCCTCCCCTATAAGTTAAGGAAACTCATTATTTTTGCTGATTATTCAGTTGTTTTGAGAATTTTTTCCCATTTCTGTGACTCTTTTCCAGGTCTGAATCCTGGGAGCTATCCTTGTACTCGTGGTATCCACTGACTGCCCTCGGGGAACATTGTGACCCCCATCCCTTGTTGGGGGGACATTCCCAAACCCCTTGGGCTCAGTGGTTCCACATCCACATGGATTTAATTCCTGGTTTTCTTTGCTCTTCCGTCCAATAAAGGCCTTTCTCAATTAACTCCCCAAGTCATCCTTGGAGCTGGGAAAGGGAGGCAGGAGCTGGGGTACTCTGGGGGTGGGGGGCAGAAATGAGCTTGGAAAAAGCTTTTGGGGAAGGAAAACCCTGATTTGCAGTATTTGTCTCCTAGGGAGGATATCCAAGCACCTCTTACTCTGTTGGGACACATTGTCCCTGTCCTCCCTCCCTGCTCTGCTGGAAGCCATTCTCGACACCGGGACACCCCAGTCCTGGGGCAGGAGCTAGGACTGTGGAGCCACAGAGATCAGTAAAATCCAGCAGTATCCTGGGTTTATCCCAGCACTTTCCTGTTACCCAGCCTGTCCAGCTTCCCTAGTAGGGATTTCTGAGGGGGTCACACCAACTCACTTTCTGCTTCCACTTCTTCCCTCTTCCACATCATGCTGGAAATCAGGAATTCCTTCTCTGTGGTCCTGGATTTAACCTGGATTTAAGTCTGGAGCCAGTGGGGGCTGGGGTTTAGATTTCCCCCATCCCTCTCTGTGTTGCACTTGGGATCAGTCCAGAGGCTTTTCCCTGAATCAAGCCACTTTCCTGCTCTCACATCATCTGCGTGCACAGGGATGTAGGACACAGCAGAACCGCAGGCCAGAGCTTTATTTCTGGAGCTGCTCCATTCCAGCTCACTCCCACTTTTCCCGCTTCTAGATGTTCCCCCAGATCCTCCAGCTCCACCCTCACGCATGCTTGGTCATCCCTCCACCAGCCCAGGAGTCCCAGCCCTGGGATGGCTCTGGAATGTGTCCCCAGGAGGGAGGTTCTGGGACGTCCTCCCGCCAGAGCTGCCATCTCAGTGCTCCTCATCCTCCTCCTCTCGGGAGGGCTTCCGGTGGGAGAAGAATCCCAGCTGCAGGCAAAGGGGAAAGAGGAGGAATTGGGGAGGTGAAAATGTCCTTCCTCGGGAGGGAGGGGGGGATTGATACTTCCCCCTCGGGATGACATCATGACCCTCTCAAGGTGGCATTGTGACCCTCCCCCAGGGTGATAACATCACCCTCCTCACCCTCCAGAGGCCAAGGCTGAGTAGTGCCAGGAGCAGGAGTCCCCCCAGGGCACTGCCTCCCAGGATCCACAGAGACACGGGCACCCGCCTTTCCTGGAGCACTTCCAGCACCAGCTGCAGGAACACAGGGATTGTCAAGAGGAAGGAGAAATTGAGGAGAAAACCAGGATGGTGGGGAGGAAGAGGGAATTTGGGGAGGAAAACTTGACTTGGGTGGAAAGAAGGAATTTGTAAAAAAAAGCAAAGACTAGAGGGGAAACGGATTGGAGGTAAAACAGGCATTGATGGAGAATAGGGAATTTGGGGAGGGAAACCAAGATAAAGGGGGGGGGAAAAGGGGAACTGGGGAGGGGGTCCTACCTCCCTGCGCTGCACCCCCTTCTCCAGCACCAACATGCCCCCTGTGACCCCCAGCCAGACACTGCTGACTATCCTCACACTCCGGAATTTCACCTGGATATGGGAAAAGGGGAGTTCTGAGCCATGTGTGCTCCCCACTTGGGATCCTCCCTGGAGTGGGGGCGCCCCAATTCCCCACATGCCCCCCACTTTACTCACTCCACTGAAGAAGCTGTTGTGGAGGGTCCGCAGGAGCTGGATGGAGACTCCCCCACCACGCTCCAGCCTCTCCAAGTGGCAGCTCAGCTCCTGGCACCAGGTGTTGGAACAGTCCTGGGGGGAAAAAATTTGGGGGGGAGTGGTGGGGATCCCCCCCTGAACCCTCCAAATTCCTGGGGGGTGGGGGTGGGCACAGTGATCCCTACCAGCCTGTCCATGTGCAGCAGATCCTCAGGGGGCACCGGGACCACCTGTGTCCTCTCATCAGGGAGTTGCAGCATGCAGGTGGCCTGGGGAGGGAGAGAGGGCGTTCAAAGGGACCCCCGCTGAGGTCCCCTAAGTATCCCCAGTACTCACATTTTCAGTGAGGACATTGGTGACAGACAAGATGGTGGCCTGATGGTGGCCCAGTGCTGGCAGGGCCATGTGCAAGGTGACATTCTGGATGGAGTAGCACCCCAAATTCTGCACCTGGACGGGCACGTGATGAGCCAGGGCTCCCCCGGGCCCCACTCCCCAGGCCCTCATCATCTCACCTTGACTGTGGTGGTAAACTCAGGGCCAGAGCTGTGGCTGAAGGTGCCAAGGGGATGAACTTCATAGCGATGCAGGTTGGTATTACTGAGTGGGGCACACAGGAGAATCATATCCATCATGCGTGTCCCCCTCCATGACTATCCCACTCTGCTTTCACATTCTCTCAGCCCCACCTGGACAGGAACAGGTTGGGCTCATAGCGGATGGGGACGGAAAGCTTGACCACGTTGTCCTGTGGTGTCACCTCAGTGCTGTCACTAGACGGGGGACACTTGAAGTATCCCCAGACTCCATCCATGCCCCTGGAGTGCACACCCCACCCCCTTCCCCCCCGCCTGAGGGTTCAGCACTCCCCCCAGACTCCTACCTGCTGGCCTGGAGAGTGACTTCAGCACGGTCCAGAAGGACGGAGCAGCTGAACTCCAGCTCCAGGGTGAAGGACACCTGGGGGGGCTCAGAGGGGTGTGGTGGGGGTTTGGGGGTCCCAAGGGGCTCATGAGGGCGTCAGGGGTCTTACCTTGGCCTGCGAGTGGAAGACGGGGTACCCGACACTGCAGCGCCGGTGGTGCCTCCCCAGTGCTGAGCACTCCAACTTCACCGTGCTGGGATCCTGCCAGGGGGACACGATGGGGACCAGGACATCAAGTTTGGGTACTTGGGGCACTGGGATGTGGCAGCAATAGACCTCCACAGGGGGATACTGAGGGGCCACAGGGGACCAATGGAATACGATCTCCCACCTGGGGACACAGTAGACCCTCAGCTCCCACTTGGGAGAGGTTGGGGACCTACCCCCCTGTTGCACTTGAAATGGGTTTGAGGTTCCAATGGACTCCAACCCATCCCACTTGGAATGGGTTGGAACAAGAATGACCTAGAGGTTCTCCAAAGACCTGTGTCTCCATCTTTACCCTTTACTCCTCAGTGATTTGGGCCTCCCCCCAGGCTGTACCTGGAGCACGAGGCTGGAGAAGTGGAGGTTTCCAGGCAGGTGCAACCACAGGCTGACATTGTAGGCATTCTCCTCACGGTTCTCCAGCTCCACCTCCACCAGCATCCGCCTTCGGCCCTTCCGCAGGATGTGGGGGCTCTGCCTGGAGGCCAGGGATTCACAGGGGACTCCTGGGATCTCAGGGACACCATGAGGACACTAGGAGGACACCAGGGGTACCTGGAGCCCACAATGTCCGTGGTGGCCTTGAGCACCAGGTCGGTGACGCACTCATCGTCATCCCCACAATCCTTGAAAAATGGGATCTGGAAGGAGCCAGGGGTGATCCTGATGTCTGGGGGTGATCCCAGCGTCTGGAAACACCCCTCCCAGTACACACCAGTTTGCGGATGGTGGTGGGAGATGCCTCATCCAGCACCGACGTTGCAGCTACATCCAGGGCCCAGGTGAGGCTGAGGCTGAGGGGCCTCAGGTAATCTGAGGTGTCCTGCAGAATCAGGGGATCCTATCAGCCTCACTCCAGTCAGACCCCAGGAATGGGGGGCAGGAAGAGCCCTCCTGTGGGGCAGGGAGGAGTCCTGGGGCTGACCAGGACGTGGAAGGGGATGCGGATGCAGCTCTGCCTTCCCAATGGGAACTCAATTCGGCGCTGGAGCAGTCGGCGGGCACCCGAGTCAAAGGCAGCACGGGATCCGGGGATCTGGTCCTCGAGGGATACATTGTACCGGAGATCTGGGGGATAGGGAGCGGGTCAGGGACCAAGACACCTGCAGGAGGGGGTGCTCCAGTGCGACTCCACTTAAGTCTGGGGATGCTCCAGGGACAGGCTGGGTTGCACCAGGAGGGCACCAGGGAAGGTCAGAGGCTCCAGGATGTTGTGGCATGATCCAGTGGGGCTCCAGGAATCCCAGCAGGGATATGGGTGCTCCGCTGATATTCAAGGGACACTACAGGATGTTTCTGGGAGATTCCAGGGCTACCCTGGGATACTCCAGGGGTGGTCCAGGATCACCATCTATATGCTCTGGAAAGATTAAGGGAATGCCCATGGGATGCTCCTGGGAGGCTCCAGGGACATTGCGATCCTCCAGCAACACCCAGTGAGGGTGTTGTGAGGGCCAATCCAGGGCTTTCAGGATGCTCCAGGTATGCTCCAGGAATTCTCCGGGACACCTTGGGACACTCCAGGAATATTCCAGGGACACCCTGGGATGCTCCTGGAATGTTCCTGGAATGCTCCCAGGTTCTCAAATAATCCTGGAATAATCCCAGAGTTCTAATCCCACCCTGGGATTCTCTGGGGACAGCCAGGGATGCTCTGGTAATACCCTGGGATATTCCAAGGATGCTCCAGGATGCTTTGGAATGCTTCCGGGATGCTCCAGGGACAACCAGGGATACTCCAAGGATGCTCCAAGGACCCTGCTGTCCCCTATTGCCAACACTCACCAATATCCATGTCCACAGGGTTCCGTGTGCGTGTCTCGGCATGGAAGCAGATCCGGGCCCGGAGGCAGACGGCGCTGGAGCCACTGCGCTGGCAGTTCCGTTGTGTGACACTGACAGCTGCTGGCTCCACAGACATCCATGCGAACACCTGGATAATCCAGCGGGACCTGAGGGACACAGTCACACCTGGGATTTCATCAGGATCATGTGAGAACAGAGACACCCACCCAGCCCTAACCTGGATCTTGTCACAGGGGAAACTGAGGCATGGAGAGCCCTGGGAGGATCCCACGTTCTTACAAGAGGAAACTGAGGCACAGAGTCCCCTTCCCCCTGAATGTCCTCATGACCCACATGTCTCTGTCCCCAGGCTGCCTCTGTCCTTTCTCCATGTTCCTATTCCCGGGGTATCCCCATGGCTGGGATGTCCGTGTCCCTCACCCCCTGACCCCTACTCACCGGAGCACTACAGCCGCACCATGTGCCCCCACGGCCACGTCCACCAGGCCGTCCCCGTCCATGTCCACCCGTCCATCCACGCTGATCCCGAAATACCGGAGGCTCCACCCCAGCGCCGCCGCCTCGATGCGCTGGGAACGAGAGTTGTGGCACAGCCAGTGGCTCTTACAGGGTCGTGATCACCGCAACCCCGACACCGAGCCCCTCCCAGCGCCATCTCACCTGCTTGTACTGGGGCAGGAGGGTGGCCGGGGAGACGTGGAACACGTAGAGAGCGCCGCGGTGCTCGTCCTCCAGCGGAGCTCCCACCACGGCTCCGGCCAGCCCGTCCTGGCTCAGGTTCGGCACCACGCCCAGGGCGGAACCGAATCTGGAATCCTGCTGCCTCGGCTCAGGGTGCAGCGACCCTGCGGGGCTCAGGCGGTCCTGGGTGGTGCGGGGGGACCCTCGGTACCCCCACGGGACAGGCACCCTCTCAATCCCTCTGTGTTCCCCCGATACCCTCCAATCCCTCTGCATCTCGCTGATCCTCTCAGACCTCTGTCCCCAGTGCACCCCGACCTCCCCGTC